AAGTTGCTGATCTCGTTACTCTAGCTGTGGCAGCCAGGTTTTATTTTTACAGATCTGCCTCTTGTGTCAATAGCTGGAAGGCACACCATGACTGGTGTGGAGCCAGCGTAACAGCGGCTTAACGTGGTAGAGGTGGTTCCTTCTCGATGTGCTAGGTACAGCCCATAAATGTTTGGGAAGATCTTGCTGGTGCTGTCAGTGTAAACGGGGATTGGTGCGCCATATGATTTGCTCCAAATCAATCCCAATCGAGAGGAATTGCAACAACGTACATCCAGGTAGCCCCGAATGAATATGGGAGCGGAGAACCCAGACTAGCATAACGGATGACGACAAAAAGTGACTGGTTGCCTAACCAGCTTTCTCATAAGTTACATGAATTACAAATTTGTAGACTAGTCTGTAGTCTATTTACAAAATATTTATTTATTTTTAATACTGCTGATTCCAAGAAGGGGCTGTAGGAGGGAGGGCAACCGAATACAATACATACCATATACATAAAAAAGTGACTTATGAAAAGCAGGCAAACACTACACTCTCGGCGGTACAAAATCGAAAACCAAGACACAAAACGTAAAAAATTGTAACTGGTTACAGTTTTCATTATATATAAATACATTTTCTCACAAACTACGAAAAGGAGGTAATGTAAACTGCTAAAATCAACCCTTTAAAAATCAATGAAGGTATTTACAACATAATCAAGTAAAGCAAGATATTCATACTTGTGAGATGAATAAGTGAGACTCAACCGATTGTAGGAATGTTTCTAGCTTGAGACTATGAATAATATGAGAGGGTAGGTCATTTTATTCTGAAGTTGTAAGTGGAAAAAATGGAAATCTGTACATTATGTACTAAAGCGCAAGCTTTGTAGTGTTTGAGTGTGCTTATGATGAGTGTGTCTTGTTAGGGATTTGGACAGGTAGTGTGCTATCTATGGACAGTAAGTTATGCATCAGCTGGTATATTCCTTTCAGACGAGCTAGTTTAGTACAATTTTGTCGGGTTAGTAGCCAAGCTGTGTTGATTAGATGAGGTGGTGAGGCAGTTTGACTATAGTCCATAAAAACAATTAGATTGCTTTTTTCTGCACTACTCTATATTGCTTTAACTAGTATTTTGGTATATGGAATCCAGGCTACATTAGCATAATCTAGAACAGCTCGCACAAATGCTGTATAGGCGAGTAGTTTATTTCTGGAGTTCCATGTCACAGTTGCCTTTGAAAATACATTCTTTACTACTTCTGATGTTCTGACATTACCTTGGGAGTTCGACCTGAGATTCTATGATGATATCACACCAAGATATTTGTATTGAATAACAGTTAACGGAGTGTTGTGGGCTGTGTATGAGTATATAGAGACGTTTTGTTTTCTAGTTAGGCAAAGGACCGCTGATTTGCTGACGTTGAAAGTCATTCATCAATAACACCATTCTGGCATTTATTTCCGCGCATGATTCAATATCTCGTTATCTTCAGGTGAACTTATTTCGTGATAGATAATACAATTGTGTGCAAATAGTCTTATGTTAGTACTGACAACACCAGGAGGATTGTTGATAATATATCTACAAAAGTGGTTGCAGCGAAGACCGGTCCAGCTCAGAGCTTGAGGAGGGCGAGATCTTTTTTTTTTGGTCGAGCCGACAAAAGCATGGTTCAAGAGGCCGGCAATATGCATGTAACCTCCCCAGCAGTAAAAGCACCGTTTCGACGAATCTAGATGTCAACGTCACAGGGTGAGTGGTAGGGCTTCAAGCGTGCGACATGTGAAGTATCGCGGGTCTGTGGGGCAGATGAATGCGGTGATGGCAAAGCAGCAATCTTCTAAGTTAGAGGAGTAAGTGCGCGAAGGACCTATGTATGGAGACAGCAGGTCCTCCAACATTCCACCTTAATGGGTTAGAGACGACCACAGGATGAAAGAATCGAGCAAAAAGTGCAAGTCTCGGTGTCTTGATCGTACAAACGCCATTGGTTCTCTTGAGAAGTCAGAAGGTGAGTGCGGACTGTTTCGAGTGCATGGGCAGCCAAGGTGATAGCTTCAAGGGCATGTTCATTGGTTGTTACGTTTAGAAACGAGATGATGGTGTCCAAGGGCAACGTTGGTTGTTGGCGAAGCATCTGAGTAAATGAAGAGTAACTGGCAGTGTCGGGGCACAAACAATTGTGCCCAAATGTGACGTCTGGCAAAAAGGTCACAGTCAGAGTGGTTGGAAGAACTGTACTTCGAATGCATGTCTGTAAGTGCTCAATGACGCCATTTGTCTGCATATGATATGGTGTAGTAAGCCTGTGCCTCGTTTCACATGACTGCAGAATGTCGGCTATGACATTTCAGAGAAATGTGCAGCCACGATCTGTAAGCATCTGCTGTTGAGCTGCACGTTGAGAAATCACGCCATGTAGAAGGAAGTCAACGACACCTGTGGCAAGGCTTGTTGGAAGAGCTCGTGTGATGCCCTAGCCCATGGCGAATACTCTAAATATGTATGAGTATTCGGAGAGTGTTTCTGCAACACAACAATAATTTTCATCTAATTCGTCTACTTTCCTTTCGCTATCACTACGTTTCAGTAGTTCGCGGTCACAAATGGCGTGCGCGTTATCAGTGTAGCATATCAATCCCGACAGGAATGTGGCCAGCACTGCGTTTTCAAGAAAGAAAATGCGAGCAAGTGAGAGGACGATTACTGTTGTGTAGTGGAACTACTCCTTGAATAGTCAATTTTTTTCTTAGACGGCAATCTGTGGCCATAGCCATCCACCTGTTTCCAGAGGCAGACAGGGGAAACTGGCCAAGTTGGTCTAAGCCAACGCGAAAAAATAGTTCTAAAATTTTTTGGAACTGAAGGCACCCAGAAGCAAGCGCCAATGGTGTTTTGCGGCGCTGTCCAGTATCTTCTTACGAAGCGTGCAAGCCTCGCCGAACGAATTGTTGGTAGATCTGGTTGTAAGTGTTCAATTTACGAAGGTGATAGGCCATTGGAAGCTCATGAAGCGTGTGAAGAAGATCTAAGCGGAGGTGTTTTGGAGCAACAAGAAGCAAGAATGGTCTCTTTTGGTGAAAGTTATGGCAGTACAGTACTTCATCTTTAAGGACGGACGAGCGATAGGTCCATTATGTAGACGATGTGGCGAGGCATCTGGTGGTCATATGCAAAAGTGCATCGTGGTGTTGTGTTGCATCATAGATGGACGTTTTTTCACTTTCTCCGTTATAAACCAACCTATGACCAGGCGACCATGTTTCAAAATTTGGCAATCTTTCATATCACGATGATATCACAAGATGATATCGTGACGATTATTTTTTGCATCAATCGTGTTGACACCTACGCCGTAGGACGATGCCAATGCTGACGCTCAGTAGTTCTTTAGTGATGTACTTAAGGCTTTCGCATTAAAACAGAAACACTGTGCGGTTATTAACGCATCAACGAGCTTTCATGTAACCGGAAAAATTCGTAACTGGACATTATATATATTTTTCTGCCCATTGTAAACTCTTTCAGGCTTGTGTCTCAGTCAAAACACAATGGTTCATTGGCAAGGGTCATTTCGTCTATGAAATAGTACTCTGCTGCGCAAACATCTACTACAATTGACAGATAGTGTAGTTCTCCTACAGAACAATACATGTGTTTCCTAAAAATGCGAATAGTGGATGTGACAACACTCTGGCATGTCATTACGAGGAGTGGTCAGTGCACCTCTCCTTTCGAGCAAAGTAGGTTTCTTAGAAAAAAAAAGGGGGGGGGGGAGGGCAGGAGTAAATAAAGAGAAACATCCGAATAAGTGCAGCATTTAGGGAAAGATAGTAGGACTTAACGAAAAAATTGGCCAGAATATACATGTTACACTATAAATGTCGTCGAAAGGCGATAGTTTTGCGTCTAGAGAGAGAGAGAACAAAACTTTTATTTGATGTTCTGCGCGAGAAAATCGGTGAATGGTATTCTGAAGGCACTGCGTTAGAGTGCCTCGAGCGTGTAATGGAAGCGAACAAGCGCATCTAGGCACGTTAGGCACGAGCGCCATCTGGCAGTTATCTTCAAAAACAAAGGCGTCTGCGGCGGAGAAAGATGCGCGCCAGTCACGGAGGTGATAAGGTGTAGAAATTAAAGCGACGGGAAGGTGCCACAACCGTGTCGTCGTAGCAAAGCGTTGGAAACACCTTCTCGAGCATCGCGTTGCACTGTCAGCACAGCGCGTTAAACGCTACAGTCTTCAGAGTGACTTGTGTGTGCCTCTTCTACTATGAAGACAGACATGCAAAACATAGACATGTTGTTATGGTGCCTCAGATGTGTGCAGTATTTGCTTTTTTAATTGACAATCGCAAAACTATAAATACTTACCTTGACCAACATTGGTGAGCGCTGCGAATGGGGTAGACCGTTTGGTGCCGTTTAAGGTATCCTTAGGGCAGACAAACAGACAAATGTACAGACAGACAGACCAAAATTTTTCCGTCGAAGGTTCCCAAGAGAGACTATTGTCTTTAAAAATAAAAGAGGCACGGACAGCAGAGAATTCTGCTCTGCTGTCCGTGCCTTTTCCTTCTTGCATACGGAAACATTGGAAGTAACTTTTCTCTGGAAGACTGATTATTGGTGCATGGGTATGCCAATCATTACTTCACCTTAGTGATGGGGAGTTCTCAGTTCACGGCCAATAGTTTCAGGGTAGATAATATTATGATATTTAGTGTTTCTCTGCTTAGGTGTAAATTTTATTTTCAGAATTACAGAACTGGTTGGCCTTTTCATTATTAAAATGCACTGAAAGTTGGCAAATTTACGGCCTTTTGTTTTGTCTGTTTCTTTTTGCAATAATTTGTGCACTGTGCGTCGTACATCTAGTATACCATGTTCAGATTAGTTTTTTTTAATGTTGGCTTTGCTGTCTTTGTGTTCCTATTCATAGGGCATTGGCAGATTCACCAGGCTTTGTAGTAAATAGCCGTTTTCGAATTTTTTCGCAGCTCAAAGTTTTCTCGCATCTAGTACTCTTTCTTTCAACAACATAAGCGTAAGTACTGCACTCTTTATTTCAAACCCATCAGGTTGTGCTTCACTGCGCACAATTTCTGGTGCATTTCAGTAAAAATTTCACTTCAAGATGCATTATAAATACGATTACTTGCATAGCGTGAAAAAACGGCAAAGTTAACACCATATTTGCAACAAGAGATGCACCAACATGCTCACTTTTATGCAAATATTGGTGCAAACCCAAAATTGTGTAACTTTTGGCACGTTAATGAATTCACAGGGATCTACCCTTTGTCACAGTCACTTTTGTGTCTGTTGAAGTTTTTTGCGGGATTCGAAGTCGGATTCCCAGTCGGTTTGATTGCTTTGCAACAGGGTAAAGTAATAGTATTTGGATTGTGCAAACTAGTTGAAATTAACCTGCAGCTCCTAGGTTACATCTCTATGATTGCCTGTGTGTTGCTTTAGGATACTGCGTAATTTGGTTTGAAGTTTTTATTTAACAGTGGTCGGTCTCTAGTGCCACCTGCTTCTGCAATAGCTGAAAAGCACCAACTACTGCTCCAGTCAAACCCTGCTACCACGAACACTGCTTGAACGAATTTTTTGTTGTACCAAAACATTTTCGGGCACCCGTCAACACTTTTTACGAGTCAATCAATGCATGAATATTGCCCGAATGAACACTTTGTTTTTGCCAGTCGCTTAAATGAAATTCTTCTATGCAATTTAAGGCCCAGATATGTAATGCGGGGCACTGAACACGATCCTGAACATGTTTACGCAAGATTAAAATATAAAAATATGTGTACAAAATCTAAACAATGTGCTGGCACCACCATAAATGGCCTCTGTTGACTCAGCGTGGGGGCCACCATTACTCAATAGAGATGACAATGAGGCTTCTCTGCTTTTTCCGCTGGTTAGTTTCTTAGCTACAGACAATCCAAAGCTGAATTTCAGTTGCTCAGTTGCCTGTGCAGCAGCTGGGCGCAATCGCAAAACGGTGCCTTTTTTAATGCCAATGCTGTTCTTTTTTAAATGCGAAGCATTTCTTAGTGAACTTTGGCGACTTTGAGCGTGTCTATCTATCTATCTATCTATCTATCTATCTATCTATCTATCTATCTATCTATCTATCTATCTATCTATCTAGCCGCCTACCACTTTTAGCTCTCCTTACCGTTTGGATATAATTATCAATTACAAACTTGGTACGGCATAACATGCCTGTATGACGAGCATATTTGACTAGTCATAACATCAAAATCATGACATGTATGTCAAGAACGTCATGATATAGATTTCATGGTCTTGCTGCGCTTGCGGTGCTCTCTATAACATGACATGTCGCAAAACTGGTGTAGTATGACATGATTGCATAGCGTACACAAGTGCACACCTACCCTTACAGGAAAATTATGGTATGCGTGTAATGTAACAACATGACTACATTCCACGCTCATGATGTGCTCACTGCCATTTCGCTAGCGTCATATATACAAAATTTGGTATTACGGTACGTGAGTTGATGACAAAGGTATGTGGCTGGTGCAAACATGACAATCATGAAATGCATGTCATGTAACAACATGACTACATGCCACGTTCATGATGCGCTGGGGGCCGTTTCGCTAGTTTCACTTATAACTAATTTGGTATTACGGGACGTGAATAGATGACGAAGGTATGAGACTGGTGCAAACATAATAAAAATGACATGCATGTCATGTAACAAAACCTGACTACATGCTACGCTCATCATGCGCTCGCGGCCATTTCACTAGATTCACATGTGCCAAATTTGGTATTACGTGACGCGAACGAATGAGGTAGGTCAATGACACATCATACAAGATAATCACAACATGCGTTTCGGGGCGCATGCTCCGGCGTTCGTTTCGTCGCGTCTCGCTGGCCACGCCAGGCGCCGGTCGTGCCGCATACTCGCAGGCGCGCACCGCAGTGCGTTGCTTTGACGCATGCGCGTTTCAGCGCGTCCAGTGTCCCTTCGTCACAAAAAGAGGCAGACGCAGTGCTGTCTAGGTAACGCGCCGGTTGCCATCGGGCCGCGCCCCACCGCGGTGGTCTAGTGGCTAAGGTACTCGGCTGCTGACCCGCTGTTCGCGGGATCGAATCCCTGCTGCAGCGGCTACATTTCTGATGGAGGCAGAAATGTTGTAGGCCCGCGTGCTCAGATTTCGTTGTACCTTAGAGAACCCCAGGTCGTCGAAATTTTCGGAGCCCTCTACTATGGCGTCTCTCATAATTATATGGTGGTTTTAGGACGGTAAATCCCATATATCAATCAAATTCCATCGGGCCGTGCCGATGGACGCTGGTGGCGTCGGTCGTGCCTGAAGTAAGACTATGGAGTTCTCGCGTTTGGCTAACGAATAGCGTCACTGTGCCCTGCGTGCGCGCGCGTCCACGTCATGTCGGAGTATATTGGGCCCTTCATGATGCACTCGCGGCTGTTTTGCCAGCTCCACTTATACCAAATTTGGTGTTACGTGACGTCAATTATGGACGAACGTATATGGCTGGTGCAAACTAGATAATCATGGCACACATGTCATGGAAGAACATGACAATATACCACGTTCAAAGCAAGCTCGCGTACATTGCGCTAGCTTCAAATATACTAAATTTGGCAATAGGGACGCGAATAGATGACGAATGTAAGCGACACACCCAAACATGATAATCAAGACTCGGAAGTTTTGTACGGCATAACTCCACCTTCGTTGCGTTGTGGTGATTTTAAAGTGACATATCAACCTTCCTAATTCATGCTTCGCATATCATTAATTCCCACTGTACGTGGGATCTGCCAATTTTTTTATGCTTGGCCAGTATTGTCAGTGCTTAGATTGACCATTCAGCCACGTCATCAACAAAAAGCCATCCATGCCTAGTGGATGACAAGAATATTATAAAATAAGGTGCAATTCACCACTCTACAATACGTGCCTGTTCTCGTTGTTGTCAGATAGCTTTTGGACGGTGCACAACTGCTGGTGTGAACGTGCAGCTTTTTGGTTAGTTCATGGAAGCCGTAAGATTAGGTGCCTTTTAAGTTGTCGTCACTATCCATGTGGGAGTATCACGTCATGATGCTGCTGGGAAGAAAACAAAGCAGCCGACACTTTTTGATTGATAGGTGGGGTTTAACGTCCAAAGCCACCATTGATTATGAGAGACGCTATAGGGAAGGGCTCCGGAAATTCGACCACCTGGGGTTCTTTAACGTGCACTCAAATCTGAGCACACGGGCCTAACACATTTCCACCTCCATCGGAAATGCAGCCGCCGCAGCCGAGATTCGAGCCCGTGATCTGCGGGTCAGCAGCCGAGTACCTAGCCACTAGACCACCGCAGTGGGGCAGCCGACACTTTTTGAATTTCGGGAATAAAAGCCCTTCTTTTTGCTAGTTGAGGTCTGCAATATTTATGGGTTTCACTACAATGAAATTTTCGCGTCAACAAAGGTTTTTTTTTCCGTGCCCCATCAGTTTCGTTGTAGCCGGATTCAACTATAGTAGTTTATCTGCGTGCGAAATTCGTTCGTGATGGGGCATGAGTTGCTCACAAATAGTGCATCTCCAGTGCGGTTGTGCAGCTACTACGCCGCGCTATAAGCGCTTGGAGAAATGCTGGCGCGTTGCAAGCCGCGGAACAAAGTTTTTTAAGTTTCACATGTTTTTCAAGGTGCAAGTGCAGCCTACATTACACAAGCACAACATATGTGCATAGATGGTGTTTGACATCCACGTCTGTGTGCTGCGTCATCTGCTGCATGGTTGCTTTGCAACGGCACGCTTGTGTCAACCTGGCGTCGCAGCTAGCATTGCACCAAGCTGGCCGGTGCGGGGTGACACAGTGGCCGAAATGCATTGACAGAGACCTTTCAACAACGAACGAACATAGATGCTCACCTCTCCAAACTGACTGTAGAGTTAATAAATGTGATGTATATATTACAGAAACCTGTCGTAAGCGAGTTTTTAAAACTCGAACCCCTTAACAAACTATAACCTATAACAAACTCGCTAATCAGAACCAGCTTTTCGGGACACGAGCGGTTTAGTTTGCCTTAACGACACCTCGTGACATATCAACTTTGAAGAATTCAAAAGTCCCGCCATGACGTGTGGAGTGACGTAGCTCAAATTAAAATATAATAAAAAAAAATGATGCACACACCTTGAAGTGTTGGCTTCACCTCAGTGCACAAATAAGAGCACGGTATGTTGTCGTTATCTCGAGAGCGATGAATAGATTGAAAGGTTTGTTAGACATACCAGTGCCAGACAGCTCGCTGCATTTTGCACGAATTATGTGGCCATCGTAGACACACCCTCAGTGTATCAAAAGAAGCGTGATTGTTTTTTGTTTGTTTTTAGTTTCTGCGCTGAGTCGTATAGGTTCGGATATTAGAGACGCATACTGCTTTCAGAGTTTCGTGTTAACCGAGCGTCAAGCATTATGATTGGGTACGAACAGGAAATTGCGGGTGTATAGTAACCGTTTTTTGTGTGTGTACGCAACTTAGGTGAACCTCGCTTGCTCCTTGCAGTACGTCGAAGTAAAATTCGATAACTTTGAGAACGCTAAAATTGAGAGTACGTAGAGTGATGTAAGGATATGTACTTTTTGTTTTCATTTAGTTGTCGCCCTGCCAAGGTGGTCTATTGGCTAAGGTACTCCGCTGCTGACCCGCAGGTTGCGGGATCGAATGCCGGCTGTGGGGGCTGCATTTCCGATGGAGGCGAAAATGTTGTAGGCCCGTGTACTCAGATATAGGTGCAGGTTGAAAAACCCCAGGTGGTCGAAATTTCCGGAGCCCTTCACTACGGTGTCTCTCATAATTATATAGTGGTTTTGGGACGTTAAACCCCACAAATATATCAATCAATTCATTTAGTTGTCGAATGTGGCTATCACCTACAATTTGGCACTGTCGAAGCGGCTGTGGCTTGAACTGGATTTTGCCCCTGGCATCGGCGTCGATGTCGATGTCGTGCATCGCATATGTACACGTATCTGTGTATATATGAAAACGCATACAGAAAAAAATTGAGAAAGAGACTATGGCGCACGGAATCAAACGTGGGACCTCTGCGTCACGAATGTGAGGTGTTAGCCAATGAACCACTGCTTGGTACCTCATTGCACGTGCAAACGGCAAGCTATTTATATGTACCACTAGCCGCAGTTGACGGGCTTGTCGGAAGGGGGGCAACGATCGTGTTTTAAGCATTATCAGCAAGCGGGCGCTGTGAGCACACGACAGCTCTCATCTCTCACGCGTATTTTGGCCCGTATAGAGAATAAGGGGGTGTACGCTCGATCGCCCGCCCTTCTCTTGCAGTGAGGAGGATCGTACATCTCGTACGTACCGGACGCACGAACGTCACCTAAATCGTTGCACATCCTCCGTTTGCCAAAAGGGTGTGATTTTCAGCCAGGGCGAAGTTATATCTGAGACGCTTATTCGCGTTCATCTGTACCTGGGAGTACGTTTTGTGGGTCATTTGCCTGTGAGAAATGCGGGGCACGTTTCGATCTGCTTGCCAATCTGTGTGTGTCCTTCCAGTTTGTTGCTATCAAGTGCAGGGCTCGGGAAATTTTGACCACCTGGGGTTTATTAATGTGCGCCCAAATTTGAGCACACGGGCCTACAGCAATTTCGCCTCCATCGAAAATGCAGCCGCCACAGCCACATTTTGATCTCGCGATCTGCGGGTCATTAGCCGAGTACCTTAGGCACTATACCACCACGGCGGTGCTCCTTTCCAATTTTCACTACGGTTATATTCGTGTTGATGAACCAAAGTGGTTTTGTCTGAACGTGAAGAAAACAATCATGTCAAGCGATAAGTTCAGTGGCGAAGCTAGAAGGAGGTTAGGAAGATTCAATCTCTCACCGCGTTGATATCATTACATTTGTTCATGTGTATATATGTGCACTAATACAAGATGCCAGACCACAAATAAGTCGAACACAGAACCACGAAAGTAAGATTTTGTCTACGTTCATGGACACGCATATGTTCATGATGGAAATCGTGCTTAGGCGGAAACAGGCTTACATCTACCTATTTGTCTTATTAATTTTCGTGGGCTTGGATACGAGCAAAGAGCTATGGGCTCTTTGCTGATATGAGCCATTGATTCTTAGGAGCCTAAGGCTTTCAAAAGATTGTGTTTGGTTAGCTGAAGGAAAGAAGCAATATTTAATTAGTAAAATGAGTCTTTAGCTTCACGGATGGTACCAGGAGAGAAGAAAGTGAGGAAAGTAGTGTTGCGAAAGTGTGGTTGCATGCCTCCATTGATGTCAAACCTGTAGGGGCAACCTTTCCAAAGGACGCAAGGCGCTATAGCCCCCCCCCCCCCCGTCTAATTGGCACCGGGGGTATTTGTGTCCCACCCTATTTATGCCACTGGGTACACGCATCTAAAACTTTTTGCGATCGACCGGCCTTTCGGAACGGTTGTAACCAGAATGCCCTTCCTCTGTGTGTTTTCGTTTTCTCATGAGTGCACGTGAGTTTTTTTCTCTTTCTCTTTTTGTCTACCACCTCTTTCGTGCCCCTATTGGCCACTCCCCGTGCTGGGTAGCAAACCAGATGCCAATATCTGGTTAACCTTGTAGCCTTCGTTTTTTTCTGTCTCTCTCTCTTTTTGTAAAAAATTAAAAGAAGTACCAATAAAGAGTGGAATTACTTTTCTTGGAATTTGAACCCACGACGCACCGAATTGCCGGCGTGCGAGCTACCACCATAATGGCTCAACCAACTCGGCCATCACGCCATTCGGGTGCGTGGCTATGATATTTGTGTTATCAAGATACTATGTTCTTAGACTTGAGTCGACGACGCGACTGTGTTGTGCAAAACTGCATTTTGGAACGTAATTTTCATCACGCATAAATGTTATTGCGAGCTCAAATGAAAGCTTGGTCTTTGTACTACTTGTATCTTCGAGAAGGTTGTTAGGTTTCCACCTAGATTTTTGTACGGCCTTTTTTTGTCTCGAAAAACAAGCTGTGATTTCGGTGGTTTCTATAGTGCCCCACTGTGTAAACATTGTTCGTCGTGGGAACAGAATTGAAAGCTCCGATGTTAACAATGCTGCATTTGTGAAGTTCAGTACAGATCCTAGAAATTGTCCCTTTAAGAACTTTTGAAATTTCCGAATTGAGGATTTTTTATCGTCGAAAAATGACCGCGTCCTATCGAAAACACGCGAGCTTCCAGCCATGGCCGCTAAGATTGTTCATCGGTTAGTGTCCCTGAAAGCTCGATATGGTTGGATAAATGGTTCATATCAGCTAGTGTTGGTTAACTAATAGTTATTGTCTGCTTGTGTTACCATACGTTGTTCTATACCTATATATTTCTTTTTTTAGGAAAACGAGCTTCGTCGTGTCGCCAGGATCATAGCCAAAAAGATGTTTGCGGTGCAGCAGCAGGAGCAATTGGCCAAGGGCTTGGTTCGTAATGTGGGCACGCAAACAACAGAGCACGGCGTGCATTTCATTCCATGAGGACATTTTATGAGGAATATTTTTTCGTCAGCATATCGCTGCTTTCAGTATCAAAGCCGTTTGAAGAACTTGTTCATGACGTCGAGGTGGTGCGGTAAATAAAAAGGGGCACTGTTTCCCTTATTCATGATTCAGAAAAATGGTAGTTAAATGTTGAATCTGTGGAGTGTTGGCACTGAAGTGATGAATAACTAAATACAGTCGCGGACCAATTTTTCGGACCTGGCGGAGACCGAAAAAAGTAAGAAAAATCGAACAGTCTGAAAAATTCGTTTTCGCCAAAAATCTGAAGTTTATTGCATCAGGCCGGTTTAAAAAAGTCCTTGATGCTGCCTTGCCTCAAACTACGCTTGAAGGCAATTTGGTTTGCCCGTATTTGCGCCAAGGTAACATCGTCGCCGTAAACGCTCGACAAAATTGTCACCGCGTTGGCGATCTCCGCCGCCGACGGCTGCGGGCGGTCGTCGTTGTCGTCATCCGATGACAACGACGACCGCCATTTGGCGTCGACCGTCATACGGCGACATCTAGCTGCGAACGACCACTCTCTATTAGCTTGATTATGGCAGCTTTCTTCTCCATCGTCAGGGTCGTATACTTCCCACGCTTCTTCACACCACCTGGCTCCCGCGATTGCACAGATAGCGGAGCCATGGCGCCAAGAACACAAAATTCGATGCCGCAGATAGCCGCTGCGAAGCACACAACGTCTCGACGCTACGCGACACAACACGTGCAGAATGGTGACTGAAAAAAGCTGCAACGACAATAAATGAATCCTTCTTTCGCCTCCTCCCCGTGCGATGTGATGACGATAGTGCTGACCGAAGACGAAAAAACGGCATTCATCACCGCGTCTTTTAAAAAGCAAACACGGCTTCCGAAACTTAAAATATGGCGTGCGCATTCCAATCTCGGAGGCAGGAAAGGCATCTGAAGACCAAGCTTAGCCAAGCCGACGGAAAATCCAACATGGCGGCGTTCACAATGGCTTGGGGCGTGGCACAAAACGAGCGATTTAGTCCGAAAAATCGAACTTTCAGGGGCAAATTCGCCCGAAAAATCAGTCGAAACAATGCATTATTTCTATGGGATCCCTGACGGTGCATTTATGAAGTCCAGAATATCCAACAAGTCCGAATTTTTGGAGTCCGGAAAATCGGTCGGCGACTGTAAAAATGCAAAGAGTACCTAGTTCACATCGTTTCTCTTTCATTTTATGCCAATGTATTACTTCCTTTCTGACGATGAACTTTGGCCACATTACGTTTTGGCGAAGCATGCTTTGTAAAACGGTGAAAATCACTGCCTTTCGTGTTATGTGGCACTGTTTGGCATTCATGCGCACACTTTGAAGTGTTTACACTTCATGAGATAACACTTCCCACGATTTTACTGAACGGCACGTGAGCTGAGAATCAAACCGGAAGAGTGTTTTCAGGTGTGGGAAACTCCGCTCAATAGTGCGAGCGGAATTCGAGTTGAAATGGCCGAGATGCGCGAAAGTATGAAGTTACTGAATGAGATCTGTGAAGGCGCGAAGAAGGAAAACGAAAATTTGATCAAAGAAAACAAGTCCCTGAAGGTTAAAAACAAGGAGTTGGCTAAACGCCTCAGCGAACTTGAACAGTATTCATGCTCTAACAACATTGAAATAAGAGGTGTGCCTGTCCGAAAGGATGAGAACTGCCTTCAGATCGTGCAGGAAACCGGGAAGAAAGCAAAATGCCCTGTCGCAGCAGCGGACATTGACATCGTTCATCGTGTCCCTGTCAAGAAAGGAATACCACACATAATTGCTCGATTCTGTACGAGAGCTAAGAGAGTCGAATTCTGTGAAAAAGCACGGAAGGCACGTTTAAACACTTCCAACATTAGATTTCAATCTCAAAAAGACGAGCCCATTTTTATCAACAACCATCTCATTCCAGAAAAAAAAACGACTGTTCGCGCAAGCTCTGACCCTAAAGAAAGAAAAAAACTGGAAGTACTAAAGAAAGAAAAAAACTGGAATCTGCCTATCAGAAACGTGGCTGTCGGCAGACGAAGGGCATCTGTATGCTTCGCCAGGTTATGAATTCGAATATTGTCACCGTGTCACAAATCGTGGTGGCGGATCTGCAGTCCTAATAACTTCATCAATATCATACAAACGCCATCAGGATCTGTTTTTTGACAACATTATTTGTGAGTCTGTTTGGCTTGAAGTAGAATCTTCTGCTCTGCCATTGAACAATCGTCATACAGTCATTGCATCCATCTACCGTTCTCCCTTATCCTCGAATTTTGAGTTTTGCGTGCAGCTTGAAAGAATCCTTGCTACTCTAACCCTGGAAAACAAAAACATTATTATTTGCGGTGACATAAACATAAATATCCTTGATACTAACACTCTAGTTTGCTTGGAATATGTTCGCTGTTTTCTTAGTTTTGGCCTACAATCTCTGATTCACTCCCCGACTAGATGTGATATGAATGGGTCTAACACATTAATCGACCATGTACTGTCGAATATCTTTGCTGATTCGAAGTCCGGGGTTATTGACTATTTATTCACCGACCACTATCCTGTATTTTTCTGTCTTGATGCTTGCATTTCCATAAAAAAAAGCATAATACCAAGACAGTATTCAACTCAGCGGAATTTGTTGAGATAGTGCGTAATGCTGACTGGGACTCTGTTTCACAAAAAGAATGTGGCGAGGAAGCATTTAATGAATTTTCGGCAAAAATAAGCGCATTCATTTGAGAATGCACAACCACAAGTACCGTCATACATTGGTTTCGCACGCCTAGAAACCCATGGATAACTCCTGGTCTCTTGCATTTCATATCTAAAAAGGAAAATGTGTGAAAAAAATTAAAATCTCAGCCTTCAAACAGCTCTCTAAAAATGCGCTTAAAAAGATATTCAAATCTACTTTCAATGCTGCTCAAGAGGGCCAAACGCGAGTGTTATGAAAAACAAATAGATAAGAACGGTAATGATACCAGGAAAAACTGGCAGTTAATAAAAAAATTATTGAACAGCTGCGAGACCACATGCTTATCAAAAATAACGGTTGATGGACGTTCCCTTACCGAGCCACTCGATATCGCTAATGCTTTCCGTGATACTTTTGCATCAAATTCCCCCGATTCACTAGTCGACCTTCATTTTCCCATTCTATCTCGTTCACCTCAGTCTTTTTACTTTCGTCCTACATCTGCAGACGAAGTCTTTCAAATCATGTCATCTCTTAAAACCAAAGGGCCAGGCTTAGATTCCATTCACCCGTCTAAGATAAAGCTCGTGGCACGTGAACTGTCTCCTATTTTAGCTGAAATAATTAATAAATTGTTCAAAGCAGGTGCATTTCCTGATGCTTTAAAGGTAGGAAAGATAACACCTGTTTTCAAAAAGGGCGATCGTTTGTCAACTAATAATTACCACCCGATTTGTGTACTTCCTTTCTTTAGCAAAGTAATCGAAAAGCTTTTTTACTTGCGTTTGATGTGCTTTCTGCTTAAATTTAACCTACTCTCTCCCCACCAATTTGGTTTTCGACCTGACTACTCGACAGAGCTTGCCTTGCTCAGCTTTACTGACCGAATTAAACAAGCCATAGACGATGGATTACTTACTGGGGCAGTTTTTATTGACCTCACGAAGGCTTTCGACACAATTAACCACCGGATCCTTCTGTGTAAACTTGAATCTTTCGGAATTGTGGGTCCCCCTTTGCAGTTCATTCGCAATTACTTAACAAATCGCTCACAGGTAGTTTATGTCAATAACATTGCGTCATCTGCTAAGCCAGTTACCATGGGCGTCCCTCAAGGTTCAATCTTAGGCCCTCTTCTATTCCTACTTTTTATTAACGACCTACCTAGTTCCCTTAACCATACTAAGTGTCTTCTTTACGCCGATGACACTACTATTTTTACATTCCAGAAAACAACTGCTGAACTTGAAAGTAGCTTAAACTCCGATCTTTGTAAAATTTATCAATGGTGTGTTAACAATCATCTTTATATGAATCCCTCTAAAACTACATTTGTGGTGTTTTCATCCGCACAGAACACAATTCCCTCACCAGTTTCCGTATCTCTTAACAACCATATTATTTCTGTATCGGATCATGTGAAGTTTTTAGGCGTAATACTAGACAAGCATTTGAAATATAACTATCATGTACTCTCAATAATAAAAAAAGCTTCTTTTGGCATTCATGTTCTCATTAAAGCCCGCCCTTATTTTCAGTCACGCATTATTTTATCATTATACTATGCATATATTCATAGCCATCTTTCCTATTGCATTTTATCCTGGGGTAATACATATACAAGTCACCTGGAGCCCCTTCTACATCTTCAGAAACGGGCACTACGTCTGATCGCTTTCGCTTCATTTCAATTGCCTTCTACGCCACTCTTTATTTATTTTTCCATGCTTCCAATTAATCTTTTATTCACCCTAAAGTTAGCTATATTGATGTGCCACCTCATTTATCATGGTCTATGTGTTTCAGGGCTATCCACACAACATCTTGTCAATACTAATAACACCAGGTTTTCAGCTTGTCACAATTTCCTTCTCCCTAAATTGCGTAACAGTTATGGAAAACTAACTCTTAAGTTTACAGGTGTATCCGTATGGAACAACATACCACTTGAAATAAAGTTATGTCCCACATTCTATTCGTTTCGCAAAATGTTTAAAGAGTACCTAATCACAAAACGTGTTTTCTAAACTCTTCCGTCGTGCCTTACTCCTAATTTTAGTATTTCTTTTACTCACTATACCACTTGCTGTTACACAAAAGTTTTCTTGTCTTGTTGTTATGAAATTTTTACCATTCTTTGTTTAATTCGTACAAAGTGTTTTTCACTGCTTGCTGCATTGTTATCGCACTTGACTTATTCTCTAACGGAGGTCCCCCTGACAGTTTTCTAACTTCGGGACCTCCTCTGTACTGTAGAATTTTATTCATGTAAATGTATGCATTCCTGAAATAAAGTTTGATTGATTTGATTTGATGGATAGTAATAAGCATTGATCACTTTTTATTTATTGTCAGGGAAGTAGCTTGTGATCAGTGGAAGTAGTAGGGAAAACTAATTAGCTCATAATATGCTTCGCACGTTATCATAAAGTGAG